CCCGGACGCCACGGGGCTGCAGTCCCAGGCCGTGAAGCCCGCGTCTCCAGCTCAGGGCAAGAAGAGTCCGCGACTCGTGTGAGTAACGCAGTCTTTCAGGCGGTGAGGTAGACCCCCCTGTGTCCGCACGCTCCCCTCTCGGCTCCCGTAGTGCCCACTCCACGTGACATCCTGCCTGCCCTGCCCCCTGCCGGCTCGCACGGCAGTTGTCACGCCGCTTCCCCGGTGGCTGCCTTATCCTTCCTCGTTGTTCCCGTGTCTGCGGGGCCACTTTCCCACTCCGTGAAGTCGGCCTTTGTAGCAGATACCTCTTCCGCTCCCTCGTGACTCACCCTTCCCTGCCGTCGCAGGCTGATCCCGCACTCGGGCATCTGCATCCCTTTGTCAGCCTATCGCTTTCCCTCCGTGCGCGGCTCTCCAGTATTACATCACATCCCCATTAGGAAATCCACAGCGCGATCTTGCCTTCAAAAGGGGGTCCGTCCCCCACTCCCCTCCCCTTTAATTAGCTTAGGAGCCGTTTGTACTAGTAGCTCCATGGAGCTTTTTCTCACTACTAAGTTTTCACATTACTTTGTACACGTTTTAGAAATCTGGTGCTTACTAGCAGGAAAAAAACGTGACTTTGCCAGTTTTGTTAAATGTAGTCTTTCCTATAGCAAGCTTAAATGGGTAATCTTTTTTTTTTTGCCAAGTAACATGTTTTATTGTTTGTTTTTTCATACGTTTTAATGTAGGAACTTCATCCTTAAAAATCAGACTAATCTGAAAGGAATTCCTTTATTTCCTAGAGATAATAGAGGAACCAGGAACATCAATATTTAAAGCTGTTTATTAAAATAACCTTCCTATGTTGCAGAAGCACACATTTGTAAATCCTAGAAGTTAATCACATTAGCCATCGAATTCGTGACTGATAACATCATTTGTGTCTTGACTTTCAAGTGAAAAAAGTTAGTAAAAGCAGGGAAACTTGAAGAGGGGAAGGAATCAGAGTTTTAAGTCCCCCACTTTCCTGATAGAGTGAGGCAAGATGTGGTTTATACCAAACCCAGTAGATTTAAAACACACCTGTTCCAAAATAAGAGCTAGTTACTATGAGCCTTATTTGGATCTCAGTTTCTTGCGCAAATTTCGTAAACAGCCTGTGCCTCATTTTCCTCATCTATAGGATATAATGTTAATCCCTATGAGATTAGTTTATGAGAATTAAATGCAGCATGTGTAGCACTTAGCACAGCTATTTTCAACCTTTTTTATATCTCATGGTACACATAAATACTAAAATTCTGTGGCACACCAAAAATATATTTTTTGCCAATTTGACCAAATAAAATAGGTATAATTTTGATTCACTCACATCGGATGACTATTGTTGTGTTGGCTGTTGTCATTATTTTATTTAATAATCTAAGGAAAAAGAGGTCAGTGCCTCTGACTAGTCTGGTATAGCATGTTTTAAAAATTCTTGCTGCACATGGTTGAAAATCACTGGCTTAGCACAAAGTCTGTTACATAGTGAATATTTATTAAAAGCTATTGTTTTTAATAGTGATGGCATGAAAAAGGTATAAGTGTGTATGGGTGTATTTTCATGTAAAATTGAACTTCTTTCTTTTTTTTCCCTATTACCATACATAGGAAGGTTAATAACTTAATGTTTTTTAACATTCCCTTTTATTCTCACCTACCCATTTGAGAGTGCAATATACCTATCTCCTTGACACCTTTCCCCTCCTTCTGTTTCAACAGTTTTGCTTATAGAAATGATCTCTTAAGTTTAAGATAATTGTAGCTACAGTGGTAGTAGCTTTACCATAAAAGTTTATTTTTTCCCTGATTCTTGACCAAAAAGTACCAAATGAGTCTTTACTTCCACAATATAAATGTTACAACATTCAATCTTGGATAAGATTATTAAATTAAATCTTTTTTTCCTCCACAATATTTCTGTGGGGAAGAATAGTCTTAATTGTTAGTGTACCTCCCATAATTTTTTTGTTACACATTTTCAATTTGCTGCATGCCCTGGAAATCAAAGGAGTTTGGTAAACCTTGATTGAGTGGTAACTGGGCCTAATGGTGTGGTGAGCTAGAGTTTTTAAAGATAATGAACCCTAGTCCCTTTGACTCAGTGGTAGAGCATCGACCTGCGGGCTCAAGAGTCCCAGGTTTGATTCTGGTCAAGGGCATGTGCCTTGGTTGCAGGCTCCATCCCCAGTGCGGGAGGCAGCCACTGGATCTGTCTCTCTCACAATGATGTTTCTCTCTGTGTGTCTCTCCCCCTCCCTTTCACTCTCTCTAAAAAATCAATGGAAAAATATCCTTGAGTGAGGCTTAACCGAGGACCTTGCGGTATAAGAGGAAGATTCATTGATTAGTGGAGGTTTATAAATATGTGTCTGGATTATAGATGTTCAGAGTGATGAAATAAAATTTAAAACTAATTAAGTAGGATGTTTAATCTTTTAAGACATTTCAAGCGTTTTGAGTTTCAGTTTTTCTAAACCCTGATCAAGTGCCTTCTGACCTTGATTCATCTCTGTTTTCCTAATAACATGACACATTTTTTAAAAATGAAGTAAGAAATTTAATCTTTCTATTAATTGTTTTATTCAGGTCTTTTTTCCATATCTCAACATTGCCCCCCCCTATAAACTCCTGGTAATCATCTGTTTAACCTACATTTCTTTCTCATGATTGAAAAGACACAAAATGTGCAACAGCTTGAAAGGTCAATAAATACAGCAAATTGGATTGATTGAAACCTCTTTTCCTATTAGAAGGCAAAATAATATAGTGGCAGAAGCATTGGACTTAGAAAGTTTCAAGTCCCAGCTTTTTGCAACTCACTAAGTGACCTTGGACAAGTCACTTAACCTCTTTAAATCTTTTCATCTATAATTGGTAATTTATGATTTGTGAAATGAGATTTATAGTTAGATGATAGGTTATAGTTTTTATAAACTTTCTTAAATTTATAAAAACTCCATTTGCATTGAAATGTTCAGAAGTTAATGAAAAGAGTAGGAAATTTTTGTGAAGGGAAATAAATTTTCAGTGAATGCGCTCAAGAGAATAAATAAAAACCTAAAGCTAAGGAAAGATAAACCAAAGTTGAAGAAAGGTTTTATATCAGTACTCTAAAAATTAGGCTCATCATTTTCCGTATTTTAGCCAATAATTCCGAATCACTGTAGAAGAATCTGAGATAAATATTTGTGCTTTAAGAAAGTGTGCAAGATTGTTCATTTAATTTTTTTTTCTTTCAGATGTATAGAAAAAGTAACAACAGACAAAGGTAAGAGTTGGTCATTCTAATCTCTAATGTACATTACACTGATAATTGTCTTATAACCCTATTGATAGAAAATAGAATTAACTTCAGCCGGATCATTTAAATTGTTCCCATTTAAAAGTGACTTTTATTTAGTTAAGAATTATTGGAATAGATAGAACCTATTTAGATAAAGGCAGGTTTAGGTAATTGGAACATTTTGACTTTATTTAGAAACCTAATAATGGAAAAAGCAGGTTATTTGATACCAATTTATTGCAGTTTTTTAAGCTTTCTCTCTCTCTCTCTCTCTCTCTCTCTCTCTCTCTCTCTCGTAACAAAAAAAAGGAATGATACACAATATCAGAGTAAAGTATAGGCAAAATCTTGATGCTGATAGAGACTCAAATTATAAATGCAGCTTGAAGAATGTGGAAAAAAAGTGTTCTAAGATGACAGCCTGTTGAATAATTAAATGAGGTCATTAGGTCGTTTCTCTTTGAAGAGTTTTACCAAACCAAATGTATATATTGAATATAGTCTTCTTATCTGAATTATGAAGGGAAGCTAATGTTCACTTTTCCTTTTTTTAACACTTTTTAAAGGAGACTTCATTCTGGCTTTGCAGATTGGGTTATTAAAATTGATCCTATTATGTTGGGCCAATTGCTCATTTGTTTCATTTTTTCTAGTCATTGGCTGTGTTCCTTGATACTAAGTTTAAATGTATAGCATCCGTCTTAAAACTGGAACAGGTATATTCTTTAAGCATTTTTTTAAAAGTATTTTTCATTTATCGTATCTGACAGGAATCTACTTAACTGACGTGTGACTGGTTAATTTACTCCTATTCTCTCTCATAATAAAAGCGTAATATGTTAATTAGACCGGACGTCCTTCCAGACGAACCTGGAGCTGTGAGGGAAGCCTGGGTCCCGGGTGCCTGCTGGCGGCCAGAGGGAAGCCGGTGCCCGCAGCCAGGGGAAAGGACCCATTCTTGCACGAATTTCGTGCATCGGGCCTCTACTATAAGTGTGTGTGTGTGTGTGTGTGTGTGTGTGTGTGTGTATCAAGTTAAAACCTGGATCTTATGCCATTTTAGAGAATGACAATGTGTTAGACCTCAGTAACTTGAAGTGGTGGCTGTTTTGTAAATAATTAGATGTTAATGCTCAGGTTTCTTTTTCTCTGAATTTTAGATTCTGAGGCTAGTATTTCCATAGTATCAGGCAGAAGTATTTTGTATGAGGCAAATTTTTGTGTAGACTTTTTTATGTGACTATTTTGTCTAGCAAGTTTTGGGTTTTGTTACTGTTGCTACTTGCAAAATAGGGTATGTCTGCCAAGAAGGGAAGAGCTTGTGTTCATTTTGGAAATTTTGTGAAGTGGGGAAAATGTAGAGACAGCTGGCAATCAAGTATCAGAGCAGTTCTTACTAAAACAACAACAACAAAACAAAATCCCATCCTGCTTTTATCAGAGCTAAAAGTACTTTGTGTATCTAAAGAATATGTCTAAAAAATTTGGATTGCCTTGAGGATAACTTGGAGAGTGTGGTTGAAATTTTGAACTCTTGTTGGGAGATAAATTAATTGCTCTTTGTGTAGATGTCTTAAGCCAGAAGTTGGCAACTACTTAAACAGTAGTTGTGCAGCTGTGGAGAGATTAAAAACGGCATCATGGGTTATTTAATTATGATATCAATCCTACTCTAATCTACCAGTTAAATGCTCTGGATCTAGAGTTAGAGCTCAGGGTTTGAATTCAAGTTCTGTCTTTTATTGGAAATAATTCCAATGCTTAGCATCCAGTGAGCACTCAATAAATATTAGCTGTTAAGTTTGTAAAATTTTGAAGAAATGGATACTCTTTAACTCCCATCTCCATCTCTTCATCATTAGTTTACCTATTACAGTAGCTTTCAACAGCTAGATCAGTGAATAAAGAAATGGAGAGTGTAGTAGTCACTTTTTTCTGTGCTGTTTAATATTTAGAATTCACCTCAATTCTTTCTCTTTTCCTTGTCTTTTAACTTCTCAAAAAGTTATTCTGTTACTCCAGAATAATTTTCATGTTCAGTCTACTGAATTTTAACTGAAGTAACTCATACTGATTCCAAAGGCTGAAGTTTTTAAAAACTTTGAACAGGTTGTGATATTTTCTAGAGGCACAACTCTTTGTTTTATTAATATTGAAACAACTCTACTGCACAAATTAAATTAGTGCTAAAGTTGGATTAGATATTAATTTAAAAAAAATTCACTTTTCCTGACTTCTCTTAATACTTCTGAGGTTGTCTAATATTTCAATATGGACTTTACTAATTATTTATGGAAAAAATAGAGCTAATTATAGAAATACACAGAGTAGTCTGATCAGGTTTCAGAAACTCAAGTGTCTGACTGTTACAATAATGCTTATGTCTCAAATGGGTGACAGTACATTAGATAAGCATTTTATTTGCCCTGTTTCCTTCCTAGCCTTTTATCTTAAGATGGCAGAAACCATATTTCTCTCAGTGTGAGAATGATCTACTTGGACACCCTTGTTCCTTCTTAGGATGGCCCATATCTTTAAATCCTTTTCCTGGTTCAGACATCCAGAAGTACAGACATAACTCATTTATGATGTATCTGAATTGTCAAACAGGCTTACAAAGCCTTGATTATCAGCTCATTTCAGTTATAGGACATTATATAAATGAGTCTTTCTGTCTCTTACCTACAAAGAAGTAACTATAACACTGTGCCAGTTACATTATAAGAACACTAGGGGCCCAGTGCACAAATTTGTGCACCTTAAAAGGAACTGGGCTGCAAGGCTGCGGTGGGCATAGGGGAAGGTCTTGGCCCATCCTCCGCGCCCCTGCCCGGCCCCTCCCGGCACAGCTCCTGGTCCCCTGTCTGCTGGCAGCCCCACTCCCCACTGCCACCGCCGCCACTCCCTTGCACTGGTGGTGCTGGCCCCGCTCACACCCTCTGACAGCACAGAGCGTTTGGGGCTGGCACCAGCAGCGGGTGTGAGCAGGGCTGGCGCCGTCCGGGTGTGAGTGGCAGCTGTTGCCCCGATCGCCCCTCAGGAGCAGGGGGAGATGGAGAAGCCCTCAGGGGCGATCGGGGCCAGCAGCCGCTGCTCGCACCCACAGTTGGTGCCGAGCAATTGGGACCGGCACCAGGCACTGGCTGCAGGTACGAGCGGGCCAGTGCTGGCAGTGGGTGTAAGCGCCCAGTGGGACCGCAGCTTGCGGTAGCAAAGAATTTTTAGTAACTACCAGAGGCTTGCCCCAATGACAGCGACCGGCGCCCCACCTTGGTCTGGCGCCCTCACTCACCTGCTTCACCATCCTGCCATGGCTGATGCCTGCCATGTTCCACGCTCTGCTGCCTGCTGCCAATGCCTGCCATGTTCTGCACTCACCCCCTGGTGGTCAGTGCACATCATAGCCACCGAGTGTTTGGTTGTTCCACCATTTGGTCTATTTGCATATTGGGGTTTTATACATATAGACTAGAGGCCTGTTGCATGAAGAGATTCATGCAATAGGCCTTCCCTTCCCCTGACTGCCGGCACTGGTTTTCCTCCGGCACCCGGGACCCAGACCTTCGCTTCTCCAGCAGCCTATGTACCAGCCGGTGCCTATGTATGCAAATTAACCGCCATCTTTATTGGGTTGATTTGCATACTCTCCTGATTGGCTGGTGAGTGTAGTGGAGGGACAGTCAATTTACATGTTTGTCTATTATTAGTTAAGATTCTCTAACACAGCTATAAGTTTATTTTGTTATATATAGTAATTATTTTATATTGAAATTCCTTTCCATCCCAGAACTACTTGAGAGTTGCATCAGAATGCCCTGGTAGAAGAAAACTGAAGCAGAGAAAATCTAAGGTGCTGAGTGGGGAAACCTATATTCAGTTAATAAGACTCTAAAATCCATAAGAGACATCCATCTCTACGTGAGTCCCTAATGTTATTCTCACACTGAGATGATCCTGAGTGGACCAGAACCTCTGACAAAAAGAAATTAGCACTAATGTAATATACTCCCTGACATTTTAAGTCCAAGAAGGATCAAGCGCCTCTGAATTAAAACTAGCCAGATTGATTTAATTACATCTGGCAAGGACCCCTTTAGCTTCAGTACAGTTAATTCCCTTATGGGTGACTATGGATTAGTCTTCTGCCTGCCTACCTCATTAAACCTGCCTTGCTCCTTTGATCCTAGTTATATGCCCAATTTGTATCTTAACTTCTTATTGGCTGTTTCTGTTTGTAATTTTGCCACTATGAGAATTTCTAAACTCTGTTTTCTTTACTGTGACTCTGGGGTTGAGGGAATGGGTAAAAGGGGGAAGGGGAATATAGTTAATAGTGTGATGCTTACACATGACAGATGATTACTAGGATTAGTGGGGCAGTTACATTGTAAGGTATAAAAATGTTGAATCACTGTATTATATATCTGAGACTAATATAACCAATATAAGATTGTACATCAACTATACTTAAATTGTTTTTAATTAAAATTTAAAAAAAAATTTTTTTTTAATTTAAAAAAGATATAATTTCTCCCCATATCTATATATATAAAAGCCCAGCGACCATTGACGGCAGAACGACCAGAACGACTTGTCGCTGTGACGCGCACTGACCACCAGGGGGCAGATGCTCAATGCAGGAGCTGCCCCCTGGTGGCCACTGTGCTCCCACAGTGGGAGTGTCTCTCAGCCAGAAACTGGGCTCTGCTGGCGAGCACAGCAGCGGGAGCCTCTCGCACTTCTCTGGCAGCACTTGGGAGCAGCGAGCCAAGTGGTAAGGAGCCAGCAGGCAGGTGGTTAGGAGCGAGGGGTCCTGGATTGCGAGAGGTGGCAGGCCAGGCTGAAGGACCCCCACCCCAGCCCCAAACAAAGGAATTACATGCATCCGGCCTATAGTTCCAACAGGGTTTTTTCTGTGGAGAAATTTGAAAAGTTCTTGGGGAACCTCTGGAGTATACAACTTACACATTGAAAACTATTAGTTTACACTAATCAGGGAATTCCACCCTCTTTCTAAGAGTGGGATTGATTCCTTAAGGAAAAAATAAGAGGTGAAGAGATACTTTGTGGGCATCCAAGCATGGCTATTGCACATGTGTATACCATAATTTATTTAATTATACCTGATTAAAGGACGTTTGATATTTCAGTATTTTTTTCTGGGATTACAGGTGATATACCAAAGCACACTTACCATAAATGTATAGTTTTGTGAATGTTCACAGGGCTTAAGAAGCAGGACATGATCAACCACCCTCAAGGGTAAACAACATTTTGACTTTTGGTAGCAAAATTTAGTTTTGCCATTTTTGAATTTTATATAAATGAAATAATACAATATGTGCTCTTTGGTGCAGGGTTTCTTTGCTCACCGTTCTGTAACAATCCTCTGTGTTGTGTTTGTTATAGATTATTTTTATTGCTGTATATTGTTCTGTTGTGGGAATGTATCACTATTTATCCATCTTACTATTTATGGGCATTTGGGTAGCTTATGACTACCCAGATGCCCATAAATTAATTATTGGCCTTTATGACTAGTGCTGCAATGCATATTTTATTAATGCAACTTTATTGAGGCATAATTTATACACCATAAAATTTGCCCATTTCAAGTATGCAATTCTATATATAGATTTGCCTTTTCTAGACATTTTATAAATATGTGTTTATTGTTTTTGTGTCTCTTTTACTTAGCATAATGTTTTTGAGGTTAATCCATGTTGTAGCATGTATTGGTATTTTCATTCCTTTGTATAATATTGCTTTATATTAAAACTAGAGGCCTGGTGCATGAAATTTGTGCATGGGTAGGGTCCTTAGGCCTGACTGGCGATCAGGGCTGATCGGGGCCTTCTGGCTGCTGGCCAGGGCCTTCCTTCCCCGGCTGCCGGCCGAGGCCTTCCTTTGTTCCACGCTGCCCCCTCGTGGCTATTAGCGCACATTATAGTGAGCGATTGGACTCCCAGTCGAAATCCCCAGGGGACAGTTTGCATATTAGGCTTTTATATATATAGATAATCCACTTGATTTATCCATTCATCAGTTGTCCACTTTCTAGCTATCATGAATAATGATGCTTTGAATATTCATGGAAAAGTTTTTGAGCAAATGTTTTTATTTAGGGTAGATATCTAATAGTGAAATTGCTTGATTGTATGGTAAATGTATGTTAAATTTAAAAAACTGCAAACATTTCCATAGTGGCTGTGACACTTATGTCCCATCATCTATCAATGAGGGTTTCTGTTTCTTCGTAATTTTCACCAATTTTTGTTATTGCCATCCCACTATTCTCTCAGGTTAGTTTCTTTAGGATGGTGGGGAAGGAACATGGTAAGACTAGTGAATTCCATAAACATGGGCCCATTGCTGCGTTTCATTTGCTGTGAAGTAATTTCCTTGATCAGAAGAAGTGTTGTGTGGAATACCATGACTGTGGATAAGGTATTCTGTAAGTCCACAAATGGTTTTAGCAGAAGTATTGTGTGTAGGGGAGGCAAATACATATCCAGAGTGAGTATCTAATCCAATACGAACAAAACACTGCCACTTCCATGATAGAAGTGGTCCAGTGTAATGAGCCTGCCTGTCACCAGGAATGGAGCCATATCAGGGACTCAGTGTTGGTCTCTGTCTTTAGCTCATTAGACTATAGGTAGCAGTAGCTATAGGCAATTTTGCCTTGGTGTGAGATCCTGGATTTGGTTTTCAGCAACCTCAGCTCTGCAGCTATAGGAGATAAGGATTTCTTTCAGATCATTTATGTGATACTTGAATTGGGAATTTGAATCTCTGAGCACATCTTCACCTTTCCCCACTTTATCCAGCACAATTTAGGAGTAACAGGCCAATCTCATTATACTTGTTAGTTTGAAATGTTCTAAGGTATCAAATACATGATCAACTTGGCCTCATTATATAAGTATTTAATTGGGAGTATCCATTTTTGATATTTTTGCCTATTTCTGTTGTCATATCATAAAACGGACTTTCAGTGCTCACTTTATTACTGGAAATACTAGTCGATTTAATGCCTTTAAATCTGATCAGCCCACAGAACCTATTCAGAATCTCTTAAGGTTCTCTTCCTCTGGAATCACTTTCAGTATCAGTCTGTTTTAGGGTTCTTCAGAGAAACAACCAATGGAATATATATAGAGAGAGAGAAAAAGAGAGAGAGAGGTTTATTTTAAGGAATTAGCTCACATGAAGGTTGGGTAAGACCTGGTGTTGTAGTCTTGAGTCTAAAAGCCACAGGACTGGAAACTCAGGATTTCTAGTTGAATTCTCGAGACCAAATCCCTTTCTTTGCTCTTAGTGTCATCTACATTATGGAAGATAATTTATTCAGTCTACTGATTTAAATGTTAATCACATCTAAAAAATATATTCACAGCAACATCTAGACTGGTATTTGACCCAATACCTGCACATTATAACCTAGCCAAGTTGACACAAAATTAATCATTACACTCATATCCTTAATTTTGGGCAAGTTTTCTGTTCTTTTTGCCTAACTTCAAAACTCTTCTTCAAGGTTTTAATTTTTGCTATTCTTTTTTCCCCCCAAGAGCTTTTTTTTTTCAGTGTACTTTTGTTAAATACAGGATGGGGCAAAAGTAGGTTTATGTTTTTTTGTATGGAAAATAATACAATAATAAATAATAATACAAGAATAAACTGTTTCGTGTATTCACAACTGTAAGCCTACTTTTGCCCAACCCTGTAGTATACTGTTTTTATCTAATGGTGTAATTGCCTCCCATTCTAGGATATGTAAAAAACATGTTTTTCTGTTCCCTGAATTGCCCATTTCTTAAGTTGTTTTTCCTGTTTGTTTATTTAACCTCTGATTAGAGATTTTCCTCAAGGTTCAGGTGTTCTCTAACTTACTTTTGATTTTTTATTTTATTTTATTTTAGAGTAAAGTACTAAAATGCTGATTGGAAGATCTGTGTATGCACAGTTTTACTCAGTGGATACTTCTAACTTACATGTCCAAAATGAAACACACTCTCTCTAGTATTTCCTCAAAACAACAAAAACACCTGTCTTTTTCTGTGAATGCTCCCACCATCCATCCTATTGTTTAAGTCATAAATCTAGAAACCAATTAAATCCATGACACCTTTCTATCTCCTGTTCCTTTATGAAGTCTTTGTCTGGTTTGTCTCCTAAGTATTTCACATATTTCTAATTCTTTCCACCTCCCATGATATTATTCTTTATCAAGTTATTATTCATTGCCTAACCCAGTGGTTGGCAAACTGCGACTCGCAAGCCACATGCAGTTCTTTGGCCCCTTGAGTGTGGCTCTTCCTAAGCCTTAGGAGTACCCTAATTAAGTTAATAACAATGTAACTACCTATATAGTTTAAGTTTAAAAAATTTGGCTCTCAAAAGAAATTTCAATCGTTGTACTGTTGATATTTGGCTCTGTTGACTAATGAGTTTGCCGACCACTGGCCTAGCCTATTGCAGCAGACTTTTAGCAAGTCTCCATGAATCTACTCTTACCTACCTAAGTCATTCTCCCACCTGCAACCAGAGTGAACATTAAAACCAAATCTGATCCTGCCTTTCTACTTAAACTCTTCCCTGGCTTTCTGTGGCTACCTTTATTATTAGAATTTTTCCTGCCTCTTCAGCAACATGTTCTCTCTGCTCCAGTTATGTTGGTCTTATTTTCATTTTCCATCTCATGACAATTACATGCCTACTTTCTCCTACTCTCTCACCCACCCATCTACTCAAGAGTCCAACCGTATTTATTCAAACTTAAATGTTAAATTTTGAGCTAATTGTTAGCTATAGAAACCATTCAGTTATTAACATGTTTTCAAATTGGCAGTTTCAAAGAGAAAGCATCCTTTCACTTTCTCAAACCTATGTCTAAGCAGTCTTTTAATGTGTTGAAGAGACTGAGTGTATTTACCTAATGCCTGTACTTTGAAAATAAGTGGCACTAGTTTGTGATTCTAATTTATCTATAGAAATTTTGCTAATGCTCAATAACATTTTTTTCCTTTTAGTGTTCCTGTAGCTGTTGTCTGCTGGGAATAAAATCAAAACATAGATGTAGTAAACAGTGAATCTGGTGACTATAACAAAAAAGAAAAAATCTAATTTAAGAATTAACACACATATATACACAGTTTTGTTGATTTAAAAATGAGTAAACCTGCCCAACTCGTGTGGCTCAGTGGTTGAGGGTCAAACCACAAACCAAGAGGTCACCGGTTCAATTCCTGGTCAAGACACATGCCTGGGTTTCAGACTCAATCTCCCTAGGAGCGTACAGGAGGTAGCCAATCGATGGTGCTTCTCATTGATGTTTCCATCTCTCTATTCCTCTCCCTATCTCTCTAAAAATCAATAAAAACATATTTTAAAAGAGAATAAATCAGATTGGAATGTACAAAAAAATCTCAGTTTTTTTTGCTGGGTTTTAATTTAAAAAATTTTTCTTTCTGTTTTGCAACATAACAAAAATAGTGCATACGAATAAATCAGATTGGAATGTACAAAAAAATCTCAGTTATTTTGCTGGGTTTTAATTTAAAAATTTTTTCTTCCATTCTGTTTTGCAACATAACAAAAATAGTGCATGTAGTTTTAGATTAAAATTCACTTTTATATAGTAACTAGAGGCCTGGTGCATGAAAGTTGTGCACAGGTAGGGTCCCTAGGCCTGGCCAGCGATCAGGGCCGATCTGTGGGGCAGCTAATGGGGCGATTTGGGGCCCCCGCTGGGGCCTGCCGAACTGGGGGCAGCTCCTGTGTTGAGCGTCTGCCCACATAGGCCTGGCCAGCGATCAGGGCCGATCTGTGGGGCGATTTGGGGCCCCCACTGGGGCCTGCCGAGCTGGGGGCAGCTCCTGTGTTGAGCGTCTGCCCACAGGTGGTCAGTGTGCGTCATAGCAACCGGTCATTCCAGTCAATTTGCATATTCGGCTTTTATTATATAGGATTCTTGTGATCTTTTAGACCAGTATATTACATAAACAGGGCCCTCTCTTGGCACTTGAACCTAAGGTTGGGTGAAAACGAACCAAATCTGAAGGAAGCCCTGGGCCTTCTTTATATGGTTAGGTGTATTATATGAAAAAAATATAGACTTTGGACTTACATACACCTGGGTTCAAATCTCAGCTCTATAATTTTATATGTGAGCCTAGAGAAGTCGTTACTACTTGCTTTCTTCAACTATAAAGGTAAGAATAATAACTACTTGACAGGGTTATGAAGACTAAATTTAGAAAGATGAAAAATATATATACTGCCAAGCACTTAACCAGTATTTAAGATTTGTTAATTTCTCAGAGGAAATGTAAATATTTAGAGATGAGAAGACCTTTACTCCAACTTCTTCCTAGCCTATCAACCAACCACTCCGTTTCACCCAATAGTGTCTATGTTAGCTTTGTAATCTTGAAGAAATCATTTCATTACTCTAAGCTTCAGTTAGAAAAATGGGGAAACCTGGAGGAGGACCAGATCGTATTAGAATGATCCTTCTAACTTCAAGTATTTTATCATGATGAAGTGGCTATCATCTTTTGGAATTTAATGAGTTAGGTTGCTTTGAAAGAACCTGTTGCTGTAGGATGGACATAAATCACTTACATTTCATCTTTTGCTACCTAGAAGAATTAGGAGAAACATTACCTGCCGGTAGTAAGTACTAATTAATATCTTTTTGTCTAAATTGACACTATCAACCATTCTTACGTTGTCCCTTCATCCTCTTTCGAGAACATGGTTGTATTCACTGTGCCTGCATGTTCAGGCATTGGCTTATATGATGTTGTCCTTCACCTAGGCCCATGGTCGGCAAAATACCACATGTGGGCGCGCACGTACAGTGCAATTGAAACTTCGTGGCCCATGCGCAGAAGTTGGTATTTTGTGGAAGAGCTCGTATATTGTGGAAGAGCCACACTCAAGGGGCCAAAGAGCCGCATGTGGCTCACGAGCCGCAGTTTGCCGACCACTGACCTAGGCTGCTGTGGCTTTTCTCTCTTTTTATTACTTATATATCAGGAAGCCTCCTCAGATCAGCTGCTATTATGAGAAACAACTAGTAATTGCCTTTGAAGTATCATACAGAAGAAACTTGGTTCTTATTTTAAGAATTATTCATGTTTTAGCATTCATTAGTACTTAGTTTTTTGTTTTTTTAATGTTAGCTGGGTAGGTAGGTAGATTTGTGTCTTAGTTTTTCCATTTAACAATGTTTTTGCCAATAATTTCATGTCATTTTTTACAGATTTCTCTATACAATCTTACTAATATAGCCTGGTTTATTTAAACACTTTCTTGTTGATGGAGGGTTAGGTTGTTTTCACTCTTTAGTTATATAAACACTAGGGGCCCAGTGCATGAATTCATGTACCTTGAAAGGAACTGTGGGCTGTGAGGCTGCAGTAGGCACAAGGGTAGGTCTCGGCCCATCCTCCGCGCCCCCGCCTGGCCCCTCCTACTGTGGCCCCCGGTCCCCTGTCTGCTGGCAGCCCCCCTTCCGCTGCCACTGCTCCCATGCGCTGACAGCGCCACTCCGCTCATACCCACTGACGGCAAGGAGCAATTGGGACCAGCGCCGTCAGTGGGTGCTAGCAGCAGCTTCTGCCCTGATCACTCCTTAGGAGCAGGGGGAGGTGGAAAAGCCCTCAGGGGCAATCAGGGCCAGTAGCCTTCACTCGCACCCACTGATGGTGCCAAGTGATTGGGACCAGTGCCGGGCAGCGGGTGCAAGTGGGGCCAGCACTGGCAGTGGGTGTGAGTGGTGGCTCTGACGCCAGCAGGATGCTAGCGGGGCCATCCTGCTAGTGGGGCCGGCGCCGGCAGCAGGTGTGAGCACCGGGCGGGACTGCGGCATGGGAGTAAAGAATTTTCAGTAACCACCAGAGGCTTGCCCCGATGACAGCGACTGGTGCTCAACCTTGGCCTGGTGCCCCCACTCACCTGCTCCACCATCCCTCTGCGGCCAAAGCCCTCCATGTTCTGCACACACTCCCTGGTGGTCAGCGCACAAAATAGCAACCAGTTGTTCTGTTCTGCTGTTCAGTCTATTTGCATATTAGCCTTTTGTTAGGATGCTACAGTGAACCTCTTCTTGCCTGTTTATTTTCCTTGGGTAGATTCTTACAAGTATAATTGCTGGATGTATTTTGGACCTTCCCTGTAGGTGACTAATATTTGTCAATTTCTTGTATAGTCCTCCAAAAGTATTAGCATCTATAAGAAATTTATCTTTTATATATATTACATGTGTGTGTCAAAATTCATATAACCAGTCCCTCCCTGATATTTAGTTTTCTACTCTTGTACTACCAAAATTAGTGCTAGGATGACTATATCTAAGTCATTTTATAAGTGCCAACATGGGGAACAGTGGTGTCATACTATCATTTTCATTTGAGTTTTCTGCTGTTATGAGTAGATTGAGCTTTCCTATTTGTATGTTTGAAAGCCATATTTTATGTTTATGTAGTCAGTTGTATTAGTCTTAAGACGTGAAATTTTGTGCTATTCTTAGAAAGGTCTTTTTTATTTTGAAATTATTAAAGGAATCTTCCATAGTTGAAACAGGCTCACTTTTAATATACTAACTTATATAGAAACAACAGCCCTAGCTGGTTTGGCTCAGTGGATAGAGCGTCGACCTGCGGACTGAAGGGTCCCAGGTTCGATTCCGGCCAAGGGCACATGCCTGAGTTGTGGGCTCGATCCCCAGTGGGGGGCGTGCAGGAGGCAGCCAATCAATGATTCTCTCTTGTCATTGATGTTTCTATCTCTCTCTCCCTCTTCCTTCCTCTCTGAAATCAATAAAGAAATAAATTTTTTAAAAAAAGAAAAAAGAAACAACAAACTACTCTAGGTTTGAAATCCAATTTCTAATGCTAAATTTTTATTGCATATTGTGCAGACTGGGGTGACCCTACCTCACCTATTCTCCTTTTAAAGTATGGGAAAAGTATAGGGTAACAAGAATCAAGGGAAGCATTCCTGTTAAGGAATTTCTTGGTTGTTAAAACATCTAGATTTATGATTCTTTCTATCTAATGCCTCTGTACTTTTTCAGTCATCTTTCTGGGATCACTCACTTAATTTAGGTTATTTGTCTTAGATCTAAAAGTTAGAACCCATGAATTGAATTACTTGGGTATATTTTATATACTCCTCTAAGCATTCCACTTTTTAGTAGATAAAGAAGTATAAAATAACAAGTTTTTTCTTTAAAGAGATGATAGTAAGATAAGTTTTACCTGATTTTTCTCTCATTTTATTGTTTCTATTTTGTTTAAAAAGCTGAGGGGTTTTTTTTCTCTGAAAAAAAAAAAAGATGTTTACTGTGCTAGCTGGTTTGGGTCAGTGGATAAAGCATCAGCTTGCGGACTTGAAGGATCCTGGGTTTGATTCCATTCAAGGGCAAATGCCCAGGTTGTGAGCTCGATCCCTAGCAGGAAGGAGCCAATCAATGATTCTCACTCATCACTGATGTTTCTATCTCTCTCTCCCTCTTGCTTCCTCTGAAATCAATAAAAATAAATATTTTTTTAAAAGTTTACCTTCTTGACTGAATTTACGATAGTAGATATACAAGGATAGTTTTTAGTTAACTGTCAACTTAAAAAAGAATGATGTTTTCATCTAGATCCCAAGGAAGAGAAAAAGGAAGAAGACGATTCTACCCTCCCTCAGGAAGTTTGCATTGCTACAACTAGGCCTAGCCGGGGCTGGCGCAGTAGCAGCAGGACATCTATCTCTCGGCATCGTGACACAGAGAACACCCGAAGCTCTAGGTCCAAGACTGGTTCATTGCAGCTCATCTGCAAGTCAGAACCAAATACAGATCAGCTTGATTATGGTATGGGGCAAGCAGATAATGGTTATGTAAGAACCAGTTGTCTGTTGGTTTTAAATGTAATGCTAAACATTTACAAAAACAGCTTAACTTTCAGGGGTAGGTGTGGTGATATAGGAAGGGTTCTTCTTTTGACAATGTGGACGAAAGGGGCCACATGCTTACCTGACCAGCTCAGGGGAGGTCTGCATGGCAGTCTTGCAAACTTAGAGACC